CTATCTAAATCTTCGGACAAATCTTGCTTTATTATTTTCTTGTGCACTTCTTACACCCAGATGATTTTAACGGCCAATAATGAATCTGGAAATATCTGTTGGCGTGGCATGTTGACAAATTTCATAAAGGATATCACTGCCCTTTTGTGGCCAATCCAAAGCCTCAAGGTTCTTCTAGTAAGTGTGAGGTCTGTTCTCCCCTCCTCACTGTTCCTGCAGCCTTCAAAGGCTCCTCACGCCTCTCAACCCGGCACGTGTTCAAGGTCAGCCCTACACCTTAACGCTTCTCTCTGGTCTGTGCTCTTCCCGTTGATACATCTCATGGTGTGTACCCATCTTCCTCTCTCCCATAAGGAGGACCACACGGTTCTACCTCACTTCTGAACTCCACTCCCTGTTTGTGTGCTGGAGTCCACACAATGTGTGCAGACTGAGGACAGCGCCTGTCACTTCGCTTTCTGAAGGTACGTTCCTCCACGCGTGTTACCGTGGGGTAAAAAGATCCCCTGGCAAAACGTAAACACGATAAAAACCTGTTTACTTACAACAGACCGGGTCCAAGTTTTCATACGTAAAAAGGATCTGATATCTCCACTTGTACGAAATACCTAGAGGAGTCCAATTCAGAGACACATATGGGTGGGGGGTGGTTGCCATGGCTGGTTGACTCGGGGTTACTGTTGTCGTTTCACGGGGACAGAGTTCCAGCTTTGCAAAAGGAAGAGTTCTGGACGGCGGCAGTGGTTGCACAGCAACGTGTATGCAAGTCATACTGAATTGTATCCTTTAAAGCTGCTAAGATGGCAAATTTTACATCATGTCTATTTTGCTACAATTTTTTTTAAAAAGGGGAGGGCATGGGGCACCTGGGTGGCTCAGATGGCTGAGCATCTGACTTCAGCTCAGGTCATGATCTCGTGGTTAGGGAGTTCAAGCCCTGCATCGGCCTTACTGCTGTTGCGCATAGAGCCCACTTCAGATCCTCTGTCCCCCTCAATCTCTGCCCATCCCCTGCTTGCGCTCTCTTGTCAAAAATAAACACATAAAAAAAAAAAATGGGGGAATCCAACATCAATGTTTCCTGAGCTTTCTTATTCATTGGACTCTTTTCTCAGGGAACATCTAATGGGGCTGGTATTTCCCTGGATCCCACTTTTCTCCTCTTCCTTGATGATAAACTCCTAGAAGGCAAGGGACTGTGGTTGGCATTTCTTCGTCATCTCACAGTACTTGGTTTGTTGAGTGATTTTAAAGTGATCTTACAGCAAGAGCAGGATGTTTGACTGTTCTTCTGTATCAGTGTTTATAAAAGATTGGTTTTGTGGGTATTTATAAACACTGATAAACCAGAGGTGTTTGTTTTTGTTGTTTAAGAACAGGCCAAGATAAAGAAGCTCCAATGTAAGATCTCGTGCATTAGGTTAACACCTATACTGGGACTGATAGGAAGGTGCCTCCTTCAATGGGTTGTTTTTGGAAGAACAGAAAGTCACCGTCCTTTAGCAGATTCTATATGCTGGCGTAAAACATTTGTCCCAAAAAACAAAACTCTCCTTGGAATATTATCAGCTGAATTTTCAAGTGTGTTATTCTACTTAATTCATTGGCTTTTAAAAAAATCATTAAAAGAATCAGAGATTAGGACTTGGGATAGAATTTTCTTATAACCAAGAAAAAAAAAATGCAACTCTCTTTTGATGAGGTGTTTCTCTCTCTCGGGGTAGTGAGCTCATCTGACTGAACCAAGAGCTTCTGTTATTCGTACTTATTTATAAATCATTCCAATGGAATCCCTGTGAGGCCACTGTGGGAATGAGGATCGGGGCAGACGGAAAGCCAGGGTACTGTACATGTCACTTGCCCCTTACACTCGTTAGTGTTAAGAAACATCATCCCTTCTCATCTTTGCAAAAGCAATGAAGTAAGCTCACAGGCATGTCTGAGAGATCATACACATCCTTACTCCAATTTAGCTTTAACAATGCCTTTGCATTAAATGCTTAAGAATGAGCATCCTTGCCTTGAAAAATCTCTGGTGTCATATTTAAATAACCAAAGGGACAACTATTTGACATAAAATAGTTTTGTCACCCAAGGTCCAGTGAGGCAAGAGAAAACACACTGATTATTTTAATAAAGAGAATATAAGTAATTAACTAGAGACTTAGAGAAAGACCACATGCTGTCTCATAGCAAGACATGTGGAAGTCCCTGATCTGAACCAACGACTCAAAGTTCAGTGCAAAGGCTAGGTTTACACTTAGAACAAGAGGGTAGCAATTTAGCCAGTTTTGACCCAGGACAAGGTGAGTTATCAACATCAGAATCTGACTGTGCTGTCAGCACAGAGCCGGACACGGGGCTCGAACTCACAAACCGTGAGAAGTCTGGTCCTTAACTGACTGAGCCACCCAGGTGCCCCTGCATAAACATATATTTTAGCCCTAGCAACTCTGCCCACACAAAACACAAACAACCACAAATTCTGTTTCAGATCAAATTAATACAGAGCACCTACAATGGGACTAACCTATGCAATTAGTATGACAGCCACTATCCACACATCCGTATTGAGCACTTGAAACGTGGGCCAGTATGAACTGAGACATGCTGTGAGTGGAAAATTCACACTGGATTGCAAACATGAAGTCCCCTCCCAAATAATACTCTTGTATTGATAACATACTGAAACACTATTTTGGATATAATGAGTTGTTTAAAACATACTACTACAATTAACTTTAGTTATTTCTTTTTGCTTTTTTATAATTTTAAAAATTATGCATGCGGGTTGCATTTGTATCTTGCACTGCATCTCTGTCGGCCAATGCTGGGTCTAGAAGAATAAGTATCGCTAGTCATCCTTAAACAGCACCACCTGAGAAACTCTATACATCTGGTTGAACAGGCATATATTATTGGAAGGCAAGTTGCACCAAGGCTGACTCAGGCAGGCACACACGAAGCTTAGCAGAATTTTAACCAGACACTTAGAGGCAAATCTAACCCATGGCAAGATTATCATGAAAGGGCACACATCCAAAAGGTTAATGATGAAAATGGCTACAGAATTTTTAAGGAATTCAAACTTCTCCTTAGCCCAAAACTTTTTTTTTTTGTATAATCTCAAAAAGTTAGTTAAAAAGTAGTGTGTGGTGTTTGTTATTTTATCGTGTTTGCTATTTGAAAACATTAAATACATTTGCCTAAGTATTATTTCCTATGTTTTCCACAAAAGCCCTTAGAATTACGGAAAGTTATTTACATGCTGAAAATACAGCCCAGGTGTTGTTTCCAGGAGGAAGACCTTGGTCTACCGCACCGCAGTTCTTTTTTTTTTTCTTTTAATGTTTTGTTTATTTCTTAGACAGTGTAAGCAGGGGAGGGTCAGAAAGAGGGAGATACAGAATCCAAAGCAGGCTCCAGGCTCTGAGCTGTCAGCACAGAGCCCGACGCGGGGCTCGAACCCACGAACCGTGAGATCATGACCTGAGCCGAAGTCGGACGCTCAACCGACTGAGCCACCCAGGCGCCCCCGCAGCACCGCAGTTCTGATGAATGCAGTTGGGCTGTGTTGAAACTCCACTTTTAAGTGGCCTAGATCCAAATTTCCCAATGCTCTTTCCTAATCAAAAGGAACATAGGCATGCATGCTTTAAAATACTCAGAAAAAAAAACCCTTAAAGTTCTTAGGTTGTTGGGGGCGCCTGGGTGGCTTAGTCGGTTAAGCGTCTGACTTTCGCCTAGGCCATGATCTCGTGGTTCGTGGGTTCGAGCCCCGCGTCGGGCTCTGTGCTGACTGCCAGCTCGGAGCCTGGAGCCTGTTTCAGAGCCTGTTTCAGAGTCTGTGTCTCCCTCTCTCTCTCTGACCCTCCCCTGCTCACACTGTCTCTCTCTCTCTCCTAGAAATAAATAAAAATATTAAAAAAAAAAAGTTCTTAGGTTGTTAGGTGTCTTCCGAATCTGACATAACCAAGAGCTTCTATTATTCACGTTTATTATAAACGAGACCTATGGAACAGGATTTCTACACAGACAGCAAGAACCAGGAATCTGGGCTAGTCTGTTCATGCGGCAAAGGGGACAGAGGCTAGCTTGCCCAGCTGTGTAGGGCCAATGCACCTGGGACTTGGCTTTCCTGCCTTACTGCAAGTATATATTTTCAAACATTCCAGGCTGCAAGTGCAGCGTAAATGTAATAAATATTTGTCTCTTACTCTTTTCCCCCAGAGCACTACAATCACTTGTTTGTTGAAGGGTTGAACTTTAAAGTCTTTATAGCTCTGAAACCGAGCAACTCAGTCTCCAGCACATCGATAATCCTTTAAACAGTTCCCCACTTACGATGCCTTGACTTAGGATTTTTCAACTTCACGACGGCGCACGCCGTACGCATTCAACAGAAACGACCCGAAAGTGGGAGTCTGGATCTTTCCCCAGGCTAGCTGCGTGCGCGCGGCCCCGTGCGCTCCTAGTGCGGGGCAGTGGCAGGGAGCTCCCGGGCTGCCGCTGCATCAGGACCCAGGACCGTAGCAACTCTACTTAAAATTGCTCCGGGCCTATACGACCATTCCCCGTTTCCGTACAGCACTCAATAAACGACCTGAGGTATTTAACACTTTTCGCAAAACAGGCTGCGTGTTAGATGGTTTTGCCCAACTGCAGCATAAGAAGTGATCTTGAGCAAATTTAAAGCAGTCTAGGCTAAGCTGTGTAGGCTAAGCATGCTAAATGCACTTGCGACCCACCATATTCTCAATTGACAATGGGTTTATCCCGAGGTAGCCCAATCAAATCAAGGAAGACCTATATTTATATACACTTAGATGAAATCAACTATGCACTTAACCTAGCACATAAGGGCTCTCCATGACAGCAGCAACCATTACTGAAGTGAATTTACCCGCGCAGTCCAACAGAAGCTAGCGAGAGCTACTAATTTTCAGCGCAACCCGCCCCAAATCTACTTTGGTTAGAAGCCAAGGCTTTGACTCCAATACCTTTTCCAAAACTTTGTCAAAACCGCGACCACTGATCGCCTTCATCATTTCCCGCAGATTCTTTGCCAAGCAGTCCATCGTGGAGCGTTCCTGCTTCTGGGCACCGCACAAGAAGGAAGCCTGCAACAGCCGGGAGCCCCGAACTTCGCAAAAGACCGAGGACAAGCAGGGCGAAGAAACCTACGCCCTCCCCGCCCACCACGCGCACCACGCGCACCACGCGCACCAGGTCCGGCGTCGCGCGCTGCGGCCGGCGCCCCCGCGGCTCGCGCTCTGACGTTCCGCGCCCCCTTGTGACCGTGCGCGCACGCGCCGTTTTACCCGCTCCCGCCCCCGCCCCCGCCCCCGCGGGCCCTCCGGCTGCGCGGCCACGCCCATCGCCCTCGGTGGGCGGAGCGCGTTTCGCGCCCGGAGGGCGATGCTGTTTCGCCGGGGCGGCGGGCGCCTGCGCAGTTCCGAGCGTCGGCGGTTCAGCCCTGGTGAATGGGGCGGTCCGCCCGCGGCGGCCGGATGGAGGGTCCCAGCGGTTCGGAGGTCACGGCGGAGGCGGGCCGGGCAGAGGGCGAGCCGGAGGCGAAGAAGCGGCGGCTTCTCTGTGTGGAGTTTGCTTCCGTCGCGAATTGCGGCTCCGCCGTGGCTCAGTACTACCTGGCCGAGAACGACTGGGAGATGGAAGTAGGCTTCGCCCCTCTCTCTCCCGCGCCCCCCCACCCCCCACCCCTCGGCCGCGGGAGCGCCCGGGTCCCACCGCTGTGTCTGTTTTTCAGAGGGCGCTGAACTCGTACTTCGAGCAGTCTGTGGAGGACGGCGCCCTGGAAAGCCTCCCTGAGACCCCGGCGGGGCCCGGGTCCTGGTGAGTGAGCGCCGGGCGGGCGGGTGGGGGGCCGGGTCCCTCCGAGGCGGCCGGTGGGCGCTCCGAGAGTCTCGAGCAGGTGCCTGCGGGCGGGGGCGGCCGGGTCCCTCGGAGGAGGTGGGTGCGCGCTCTGGGGGGCTCCGGCAAGCGCTTAGGGTGCAGATGCGCCCCGGCTGCGGGGCGAACGCGTCACCCCGACGTAATGTAGGCCGGGAAGGAAAACTTCGGAACGTCATTTTTGACTCGAGGTCTAGGAAGTATGTGAGAGGTTCGAAATAAGCGAGGGAGGCACAATGCTCCGTTGAAGAATGGTAACTTGGAAGTCTCCTGCTTCCCGTGCGGTTTATCTCCCTGCTGTCTGCCGGCCAGTCGGACTAGGAGGGCTTTGTTGTTGTTGTTTTGTTTTGTTTTATTGCACGCCTGCCAGTGTAATTGCACTGCAGCCTCCCCAATCCCAGCCCTGCTGCCCGTCACGTCCAGATGCCTTACACACCCCTCCGGGTTGACCGCTGCCTATCTTCCCAGTTTTGTCTCCTCTCCCCCCCCTTTCTGACCCCAGAAAAACTTAACAGGCATATCAAACTTCCGCTTTCGCCAGTGGGTCCTTTTCCCTTGCCTTTCAACCTTTGTAAGGATATTTATGATCTCTGCCCTGAACCTTTTCTTGGACTCTTTCCATGCTAAGTAATATTTACCTTGAGGCCCAGCATAGCCATGACTTCCCTTCAAGGAGCTTTCCCTCTTAGGTGATTGTACAGCTTCCTGCAGGATCCCAGTCATAGTAACTAAGTTCATATTATAATTGCTATATATATATATAATATTTTATATCTTCCATTAGGCTACACATTTGGTGAAGTCCGTATCTGTTTTATACGTTGTTAATTTCCCAAGTCTAGCACAGTATTTGACATGTAACAAGCTCTCGATATATAGGTATGAAATTCTCCCAGGTATGTGAGCTAACTGAGCATAGTGAAGACACTTTTCTCCCGATAACCTTTTCAGCTGCTCCAGTTTACAGATGTGATCCTTTCGTTAGGCTCCTTCCTCTATCTGCCTGGCCTCTTACTGGGGGAATTGCCCACCCGTCCACAGTGGTAGAGCTGTGCATCCCATGTTGTATATTCATCTAGCCCCAGCTGGCCGTCAGAGCATCTCTCCTGGGCTTTATTTCGAGATTAGGATGAAGAGAGCTCAGTCTGAATCTCCCTGTGGAGCTGGAACTGTACCATGTTAACTTCCTGCATGTGCCTGAAAGCGGAGAAGGCTGGTTTGCAGAGGGAGACTGAGGCAGAGGGAAGTTGAGTCAGATCCAGAGAAAGCCTTCACTGAACTTTCTTAGAGATCGCTGCATACCCGAACATGGCTCTGTGACATGTTTGTTTCCTTCTAAATTCCTTTTCTTTTTTTTTTTTTTTAATGTTTTATTTATTTCTGAGAGAAAGAGAGACAGCATGAGTAGGGGAGGGTCAGAGAGACGGAGATATAGAATCCGAAACAGGCTCCAGGCTCTGAGCTGGCTCTCAGCACAGAGCCCAATACAGGGCTCAAACCCACAAACCATGAGATCATGACCTGAGTCGAAGCCCGACGCTTAACCGACTGAGCCACCCAGGCGCCCCCTCCTTCTAAATTCCTGTAGTTTGCTCAAACTAGCCTGATATCATTTATGTCACTTAGAATCTAAACTGTAACCAATAAGGAAATTGGAACAGAGGCATTTGATCTCAGGGTCTTGAGTTTAAGCCCCATGTTGGGAGAGAGAGGGTGGGGGAGGGGCAGAGAGAAAGAGAGAGAACCCCAAGCAGGCTCCCTGTGGTCAGCACAGAGCTCGATGGGGGTGGGGGTGGGGTGGGGTACTTGAACTCACAGACCGAGAGCCGAAATCGAGAGTCCAGTGCTTAAGTGACTGAATGACTGAGCCACCCAAGCGCCCTGAGAATGCAATTCTTGATCTTGGGGTTGTAAATTCAAGCCCCATGTTGGGTATAGAGATTACTTAAAGTCTTAGGGGGCTCTTGGGTGGCTGAGTTGGTTAAATGACTTCAGCTCAGGTCATGATCTTGAGTTCAGTGGGATCGAGCTCCACCTGAGGTTCTACTTCGACTTTTCTCTGCCCCTCCCCCATGTTCGCACTTTCTCTCAAAAATAAACATTAAAAATAATAATAATAATAAAATCTTGAAATCATAACAGAGGAAATGGATTCCCTGAAATAGTTTCTCAAAAAAAAATGTGAATCCAGCTGAGTAGTGGTGGGATGGAGGACCATGAGGAGTCCCTCCCTATTCCAGAATTATAAATTGGGATGTTGGTGGCACAAATGGCGAAATTTGAATAGGTCTTGAAATTATATAATACTGTTGTATCAGTGATAATTTTCTGATGTTCAGGAATTCTTGGGTGTATTTGTAAGCCTGTCCTTGTTTTTAGGAAATACGTACAAAAATATTTATGAAAACATTTCAGAATAAAGAGCAAAGCAAGTAAACGTTAAGTAAGTGAATGGTAACGTTTATGTGGGTGAATAGTGAAAAGAATTCTTTTTACTGGAAGTCTGATATTCGAAATACGTGAAAGTAGAAAAGTTAACTAGATTTATTGTGGCCACTTTGCAGTGTATATAAATACTGAATCATTATGTGCAACTGAAATTAAGATATGTCAATTATATCAATAAAATTTTCATGTAAAAAGTTAAAATACTGGCATTAAATTTATTGAAGTTATAAATGCAAACACCTATTTCTTAAATTTATGTATGGTGTGTAAATGCTTAGCAGTCACCTTTTAAAAATGGTTTCTCCCTCCACTCAAACACCTGGGCCTTGGTGGAGGTGGTGTAAAATGGTTTCTCAGGACCGCGGACTGGAGCTTGGACATGTGGCCTCTCCAGCACGTTGTCTCAGACTTCTTATGTGGTGGCATTTGGGGAGAGAGCATTCCGAAAGCCTTGAGTGCAGGCTGCGAAGTTTCTCATGAGCAAGCCTCTGAAGTCCCAGGACGTCCTTTCCACCCTATTCTGTCGGTCCAAAGGAGTCACTAAGGCACAGATTCAAGGAGAGAGCTATTAGACCTCACACTCCGTGAGGGGGCAGCAACACATTTGTAGCTGTTACTCACAATGAGATCTTACTTCGTATGTTTCATCTATCATTTATGATGTAAAATTAAACCCGTGTTTGGAAATCTTACATTACTCAGTCTAATTTCAAGTCATAGTTTAAAAAATCATTTTAGGGGCCCCTGGGTGGCTCAGTTGGCTAAGCGGCCAACTTCAGCTCAGGTCATGATCTCGCAGTTCGTGAGTTCTAGCCCCGCGTCGGACTCTGTGCTGACAGCTCAGAGCCTGGAGCCTGTTTTGAATTCCGGGTCTTCCTCTCTCTCTGCCCATTCCCTGCTCATGCTCTGTCTCTTGCTCTCTCAAAAATAAACATTAAAAAAAATATTTTTAAGTCATTTTGGTGACACTTATCATTGAGGGATATTGAGTTGGCTATAACTATATAAGTGAGCAAATATTTGGATGACAGTAAGAATCTATTTTTCCTAGGTTGTATGACTTCTAGAGGCAGATACTTTTAGAGCTCTTTTAACATTTATTTATCTGTGAAATGAGGGCTACAAATAGTTAGAAAATAATTTAAAATTAGTCATTTTATATAGATAATTTGCAAAAGTTGTGTTTCATTGTGATCTTGCCAGTGTTGATCTAACGAATGAAGAAACAACAGATTCCGTCAGTTGTAAAACCAGCACATCTGAAGGTACTCAGCAGGAAGATGGCAGCACGTTCTCTTTCATTACCTGGAATATTGACGGGCTGGATCTAAACAACCTGCAGGAGAGGGCTCGAGGGGTGTGTTCCTACCTAACTTTGTAAGTGTTATTACTTAGATTTAATGGTAAGCGTGATCATGTGTCTTATTACCTCTCTGCACAAAAGGTAAAGGTCAAGATTATGGGCTTTGGAATCAGATCTGAGTTCAAAATCCAGCTCTCTAAAGAAACATGTAGAAGAAGGGGGAGTGATCGCCTCTGAGCGCAGGAGAGTGGGTGGGCTGGGGAGGGAGCGCTCATTTTTGTTAGGAGCCTTCTAGTACTGCTTTCCTTCCTAGCCTTTGTACGCAAATGTTGCTGCGAAAGTAAAGTTACAAAATGAACTGTGTGTATCTGCTACACACTGGCTCTGTGCCCTTACGTAATCATGCGTGAGCCACTGAATTTCTCTGCAGCTCAGCTTTCTTCATCATGGATAATAACTGATGAGGATTGATAACTTTTAAAGCAGCTCATGGACCATTATAGGCTCTCAGTACACTGATTTCTATTGTCTGTGATTTCACTTGTATTCAGTTTGAAGTGTTATTACGTATGTTTTTCTTTTTTAATTTGATCTTTACGCTATTTGTTAAATGCCACAGATCTGTCTGATTTTATAGTTCTCAAAGGTCAGTGTAAAGATTGAATATTAGATCCCCTAGGGGGCAGTAGTATGGTGATATTTTGCTAATCTAGATGGCTGCACATGGAATAGTTTACCTGGTATTTATCATAAGTTGATGTTTTGAATTAGGTACAGCCCAGATGTGGTATTTCTCCAGGAAGTCATTCCCCCTTACTGTAGCTACCTAAAGAAGAGAGCAAATAGTTACGACATTATTACAGGTAACATGTTTCCTCTTACTGTTTTTGTCTTTGGAAAACAGTCAATGAAAGAGATAAATCAAAGTTAGCCTATAGGAGCACACACAAGAAAAAGTAAGTTTGAGAAAAGCAAGCCAGACACAGGATACCAGGAAAAGTGTAGGAGAATATGTTACACAGCTTAATATATGTGAAAAGTGGTTGAAACTGATGGTTTTTCAGGAAAATATAAATGGCAACAATTTGAGACCTGGAATAGTTTTTTGGCAACATTAATTTATTAAAAAGTTGAAGTGTGATAATTGCCTTTTCAAAAACTCTATTTCTATTAATTGATTTTGGGGTTTTTTTCTCCCCCCCCCTTTTTTTTTTTTTGCCCTGAATAGTTTTTTGATTTTCCATCTATTTGCTTCTTTTTTTTTTTTAATGTTTTATTTATTTCTAGGAGAGAGAGCGTGAGCAGGGGAGGGTCAGAGAGAGAGGGAATCACAGACTGAAACAGGCTCCAGGCTCCGAGCTGGCAGTCAGCACAGAGCCCGACGTGGGGCTCGAACCCACGAAACGCGAGATCATGACCTAAGCGAAAGTCGGACGCTTAACCGACTAAGCCACCCAGGCGCCCCTCATCTATTTGCTTCTTAATGAGTCCATTTAATATACCAAACTGGCTACATTCCATGATATTTGGCTAAATCTTGTGTTTTCTTTGACTTTCATTTTTACATAGTATGTGATGGTGATTTTGATTTATGATTAGGTTCACAATTGCTAAGGAGAGGGTTTGCTCTCAGTCTCCGTGCTTGTGTTTGTGGGACAACTTTCCTGCATGCTCTTGGGGATTCTTTTTTGACTCTTCTGTTCGGGTTTCTTGTTTTCTGAATCCCATGCTTTCCTCCTTCTCATCTTATTGGGTCTGTTTTTCATTTACTGTTCTGACCACATGGTAGGAACTTAAGAGACTGGAGGATTGTGACCTTCAGTTCTGGTAAATTCTTTTCCTCTTTCCCTTCCTCCCTCTCCCCCTCCCTCTTCCCCAGCAACTTTCTAGGGGACGTTTCTAGGCTGCCTGCCCTTCCCTTTCCTCCTCGCTTCTCTCTTTCCACTTTGCCTGGCTTTCCTCTGTTCAGAGAATCCACTTACCACGTCTTCAGCTACTTTGTTTTCTGAAAAAACAGTTGGAAGCTTTTATTCGCTACCCCTCTACTTCTCTTCTCACAACTTTATACCTTTCTAAACTCTTGACTCATTTACCATTTTTCTGGTGCTTGCAGAGTAGGAAGTAAATGCATGTCAGTTTGCCTCCATGTAAGTCTCATCTACTTTTTCAGAAGTTTCTCAATTTTTAAATTTGATATTGGTATCATTAACTTTTATTTTAATTTCTTTTTAATGTTTATTTTTGAGAGAGAGAGACAGAGAGAGAGAGACAGAGAGCGCACACACCTGCGAGCAGGTGAGAGGCAGACAGAGGGAGACACAGAATCCAAAGCAGGCTCCAGGCTCTGAGCTGTCAGCACAGAACCTGATGAGGGGCTTGAACTCATGAACCACGAGATCATGACCTGAGCTGAAGTGGGATTCTTAACCAACTGAGCCACCCAGGTGCCCCTGGCATCGTCAACTATTTTGGGCACTTGTGTAAATTCATCTTTATTTTTATATTTCTTCCATATATCATGCTCCGTTTGGGAGCGGCAGGTAAAATAGGGCCTTGGGTGGCTTTCTTCAGCTACATTGAAATAATAGTTTACTTTGAAGATTCAGATCTATTTAAATATCTGTACTTATTTGTTATAAAATCTTCACTAGGAGAACTTGTGATAAACTGCAAATATTCTTGACTTCTCAGCCTAAATTCTTTTCCACAAACATTTGAAGGTCATGAAGAAGGATATTTCACAGCTATAATGTTGAAGAAATCAAGAGTGAAATTTAAAAGGCAGGAGATTATCCCTTTTCCAAATACAAAAATGATGAGAAACCTTTTGTGTGTGTATGTAAGTAATTTTTGTTAATTGCTTTTTTTTTTAGAAGTCGAGTTGTTTCTTATAGTTCCATTGTGGTATCTTTATGTAAAAAAAAATCTGCCTTTATAGAAAAATTTGTCTTTTCTGAATTATTTTAAATAGTTTTTAAAAATGTTGTAAATTAAGTTTTTACATAAAATTCAAATACAAATTCATGAACATAAAAGGCTGATCCATTAGATGTTTTCCTAAGAATAGTTAAGGATTTAGGGGTGCCTTCCTGGCTCAGTCGGTAGAACACATGACTCTTGATCTTGGGGTTGTAAGTTTGAGCCCCACGTTGGGCAGGGAGCCTATCATAAAAAATATATATATATAAATGGAATAAACAAAATATAAATGTTAAAAAAAAAAAGAATTTACTAACATTCCACATTTGCTTGCTAAAGCGGTTCTCTTCTCCTAAATGCATTCCGCATGGTACTGTGTTGTTTGTACTCTGTAAGCCTTACAAGAATGAGTCCAAAGATCTTGCTCTTGTAGCATTTGTAGATTAGCAAGGGAGGGATTGTATCGTATAGTAACTAAGTAAAGGAAAGGCATAAATGGCACTGAAGGAAATATGCTGGCCAAGGCAGTTTAGAGATAATCTTAAGCTAGATTGTTTTCTGTTTTTTCCTTGAGGTATAAGTGACACAACAGTATATGCTTCCAGGTGTACAGTGTAATGATTCAGTATTTGTATATGTTGCAAAATGATCACCACAGTAAATCCAGCTAACAGCTGTCCCCATGTATAGTGACACAATTTCTGTGTGTGTGTATGTGATGAGATTAGCTAGGTTGTTCAGTGAAAGTCTCAGGAAGGAAGTTGTATTTGAATTGGGCCCTGAAAAATGTGTCCGATGTAGGGGTTAAGAACATTCTAGGTGGCAGGACCACCTTGAGCAAACTTCTGCAAATTGCAGTGTGTGTGCACACACAGGTTTACTTGAGAGGAATGGATGTGAGTGTAAATGAGCAGTGTGTTCATTTGGGTGTAGATCTCCTATAAATCTTCTTAGAAAGAACATACATGAATATAAATGAGCATTGTATTCAGTTGGGTGTAGATGGCATGAAAAGGAGTCGTGTGACCAGAAGTTGGTAAAGTAGATTGGATCCAGATTATAGGTCACGAATACCCAATATGAAAGAATTTGAACTTGATTCTGTAGGCAGTTAGTTTAAATAATGACAGATCCTGCATTGTCAGTATTTAAATAGTAAATGATTTTCATTCATTCATTTAACTGACCTTTTTTGAGTGCCTATGTGCCAGGCTATTGATAGCAGAAAATAAAAGAAGGATCTTTGCTTTCAGATGACTCATGACTTTGTAGGAGAGAAATAATTGTAATTCAGCCTAGAGAACTTTAAGAACAGTGTCTCCAGTATGCTATAGGAACATAGAGGAGGCAGCCACTGGCTGGGGGCGCTGGGGAAGGACTCCCGGGGAGGTGACGTTTGAAGTGGGTCTGGAAGTACTGGTGCTGTGCTACGTAGTCGTCCTTGGGAGCGGGATTACCACCTTATACCTTGACCTAGGAAGCTGAGCCCGGCGCTGATTAGATAGTTTTGCTTTAGCAAATACATGCTTATTCAATTGAGTACTTGGTTGATTTTGTTCTCACATTTCGGCATTAGTGGTTAGTGGGTAATTTTAACAACTATATTTACCCTGTTGCAGGCAAGTGCATTGGGAAATGAACTTTGCCTTATGACTTCTCACTTGGAGAGCACCAAAGGGCACGCTAAGGAACGAATGAACCAGTTAAAAATGGTTTTGAAGAAAATGCAAGAGGTTCCAGAGTCGGCTACGGTTATATTTGCAGGAGATACAAATTTAAGGGATCATGAAGTGAGTGACAAAAGTCTGTTCCGTGCTTGTGGGCACTGTTGCTGTGGAAACTAATTTGGGTTTCTTGTGACCAAAGCTGTTACCAGTGTGTAAGTGGCCATGCAGATGCGACTCAGTACATCTTCACTTAGCCTGTGCTGTGAGCCTAGCGCTGTGGGAGCAGAAGCCGGAGGGGCCCTTAGGTTATTGGGGAAAACACAAATATTACACATGGAACAGACAACACAAAGCAATACGTGTTGATTAAAACAAGGAGTAGAGAGAAAATAATAAAGTTTAGAAAAGATCCGGTTTATCTGCTCTATCTCTAGCTGCAAGGGGAGAAGAACAGAAAGATTTGATCATTGCAGTTGTCCCTACTTCTCTTCCGGGTTTTCTTTTTTCAACTTTGTTTTTTTACCCCCTTTTCCTGTACAACCACATCTAGGTCTGAAACAGTCTCCTTCCCCTTAGTTCAGTTGAGACACATTGGGATTTTTCAGGACCTCTGTAGACTTAGACTGTATTAAACTGTAAGCCGGCCTTGACTTTTCCCCCAACTCTGGCCGAACTCACATCAGATTAGAAGCGTTCATTTCACTAACACACGCTCCAAGAGTGGTGGAAGTGAAACGAGAAATGAAGCTGTGTCAGGACTGACTTCCGAAGTGAGGGCAGTACCCTACAGAAGAAGGTGGTGCTCTGCTTCTCATCATGATTTTGGGTCCTCGTACACAGATTATTTGAAAAAAAAAAAATCAGACTGTTAGACTCTTTGCACGTCAGTGACTTCATGGTAGCTGTTTTGTGATACCTGGTTGACCGACCAGCTTAAAAGAAAATTGTGCTTTTCAACAAGTGGAGTTGGGAAAACTGGAAATCCACTTGCAAGACAGCAGAGTAGGATCCTTACTTTATACCCTGTACAACAGTTTGTTCAGAGTGCATCAAACACCTACAAGAGCTAAAGCTGTAAAAAACCCTTAGAAGAAAACAAAGGGGAAGAGCCTTGTGATACCTGACTTGGCAACGACCTCTTACATGTGACATCAAAAGCATAAACGAGAAAAAATAAGATGGCCTTCATCAAAATTAAAACCTTCTGTGCATCAAAGGACATGCTCACAGATTGAAAAGGCAGCCATGGAATACGAAAAATATTTGCAAATCATGTATTTGACAAGTAATACCAACATAATTAATATAATATTGATATTATACAAAAATTCTACAATAAAGAAACAACCTGATTTTAAAATGAGCAAAACACATTTTTTAGTTTAAAAAAATTTTTTTAATGTTTTATTTATTTCTGAGAGAGAGAGCGTGAGCAGGGGAGGGTCAGAGAGAGAGAGAGACACAGTATCCTAAACAGGCTCCAGGCTCCAAGCTATCAGCACAGAGCCCGACGCAGGGCTGGAACCCACGAACCATGAGATCATGACCTGAGCCGAAGTCGGATGCTTAACTACCTGAGCCACCCAGGCGCCCCACAAAAGACTTAAATAGACATTTTTCCAAAGAAAATCTACAAATGGCTGGTGAGCACAAGAGAAGATGCTCGGTGTCCCTAATCGTTGGAGAGATGTGAACCAAAACCATCACGGGGTGTGACCTGACATCTCTTGACACGAGTGTGGTCAGAAAACCAGAGAATAAGAAACGGTGAGGGTTTGGATTGGAACCCTTGTGATGGGGATGAAATGGTAGAGCTGCTGTGGAAGGTGGTGTGTTGATTCCTCCAAAGATTGAAACCGTCTCCGTGTGGTCCAGCAATCCCACTTCTCGGTATTTACCCAAACAAAGCAGGGTAGGGGTATTTGTGACCTGTGTTGATAGTAGCATTTTTTTTTTTTTAAGTTTATTTTGAGAGAGGAAGCACAAGCTGGAGAGGGGCAGAGAGAGGGAGAGAGAAAATCCCAAGCAGGCTCCGTGCTGTCAGTGCAGAGCCTGATGTGGGGCTGGAACTCAAGAACCATGAGATCGTGACCTAAACTGAAATCAGGTAGGCTGCCTAACCACCTGAGCCACCCGGGCACCCTATCGCAGCATCATTCACGGTAGCTAATGCCTAAGCGACCATTGAGAGATGAGTCGGTGGACAAAGTGTACATACTTGCAGTGGAACATCGTTCAGCCTACGTGCTGTGGTTCCGGTGAGCCTTGGACGCCCCGCTAAGTGAAATAAGCTAGTTACAAAGGGATAGATATTTCATGTTTCCTCCTGTGAGTTTCCTAAAGTAGTCCAGTTCTTACAGACAGAAAATATGATGGTGGTTGCCAGGGGCTGGGGGAGGATGGAATACTTAGTATTTAATGGGTGTGGAGTCTGAGTGGGGAAATCTTCCAGAAGGTTTTCACTTGATTTGCCCAGATCATCAGAGGAATCACTGTATACGGCTACGACTTGACAGTGGAACTGACTCCTTGACCATGGGGTGCAGGACGGGTGTTGTGTTGGCAGGCATGAGACTGTTTCTCTGGTGTCCGTCTCCACCAGCTCCTGGGGGACCAGGTGCATGGTTCGTGAGCAGTAATGTTTGAAAGGATTTTTTTTCTGAGTAGTGGGTCTCAGCAGTGGCCCACAAACACTGCGTAACCCATGCTGTTAACAGATGTGCTGTCAGCCTGGCTTGGCTCCATCTGTGGGACACGGGAGGAGTAGGTTTAGCCTAATCCTTGTTTTTATTATTAAGTTTTTGTTTTAATTCCAGGATAGTTAACATACAGTGTTACACAGTTTCAGGTGCACGATGTAGTACAGAACAATTTCATACAGATTTAGCATGATTCTTAAGGGCCCTAGGATTTTTGGGATGATAAGTAAGCATTGGCTTCAACTTCAACTCAGCTGCTAAATCGGCCCCACCCAGTCCGTCAGCCTGTCCTTTGAAGCTCTGAGGCTGGGCGCTGACTTCTCTCTGGTTGTGGAAGTCTTAGGTGAAATCTTCTTCCAGTAGAAGACTGTTTTCTCTATGTTGAAAGTGTGGTGTTTCCCGTAACCGCCTTCATTCGCTATCCCAGCTGCGTCTTGGGGAGAACTTACTACAGCGTCCGCCTCAGCACTGGCTGCTTCACCTCAGCACTGGCTGCTTCTCCTCGCGCTTTTACGGATACCGTGTCTTCCCTTAATCCTCATGAGCCAACCTCTGCCAGCTTCAAACTTTCCTTCTGCAGCTTCCTCACCTCACTCAGCCTTCATGGAATGGATGAGGTTTTGGCTTAAGGGAATGTTGGGGTTGGTTTCACCTTCTCTCCAGACCAGTCAGACTTTCTGCATATCTGCAATAAGGCTGTTCTACTTCTTATCGTTCCTGTGCTGTCTGGAGTAGCATTTTTAATTTCTTTCAAGAACTTTTCCACTGTACTCACAGTTTGGCTAATGGCCTAGTATGTGGCCTATCCCAGCTTTGCACGTGCCTTCCTCAGTGAGCTTACTCATTCCGAGCTTTTGATTTAAAGTGAGAGACAAGGGGCTCTTCTTTTCACTTGGACACTTAGAGACCATTGTAGGTTGATTAAATAGCCTAATTTCAATCTTGTGTCTCAGGGGAAAGGGAGACCTGAGGGGCGGGAAGAGGTTCTGTGGAGCAGTCAGCACACACACATTTGTTAAGTTCGCCATCTTCTATGGGCACATTTCATGGCCTCCCCAAACAATTACAGTAGTAACATCATCAAAGATCCTGAGCACAGATCACCGTGGCCAACATATAATAACAAAGTTTGAAATGTAAACATTACTGAAATGTGCTTCAGAGACGCACTGTAAGCAAATGCTATTGGGAAAATGGCGCTCACAGACTTACTCCATGCACGGGGGCCACACAGCTGCCATGTGTAGACCAGTGTCTGTGAAGCGCAGTGAGGTGAGTGCAGTGAGGAAGTATGCCTGTCTTACCACAACACAAATCTAAATCCTGAAGTGTGAACAGAAGGAAGAATTGATAGTAAATTTCAAATGACACTGTGAAAGGCAGCTCACATTATTGGATCCTATAAATGGGATATGTCTAAATTTGTACAGTAGAGTGACAGTTCTGTCTACTTTTTCTTGGGTTCATTTTTTAAAAACTAATAGCAGTAAGCAAGGCTATGGGTTTTCAGTCTTGTAAGTTTTATCTGTTAGTCAAATGTAGGAATCTATTTATGACAGAAGAGAAGGGGCACATTTCCGATCTCTGGCTATCTTGATATTTTTATATTACCTAGTTATTACCATACAGCAAAATCTTTTTTAGAATGTATTTAATTATATCTAGTCTTGCATTGGTGCATTAATTTATGACATTCTGGTTTGAAATGTTGGTCTTAGACAAACCTTTTTAATTCAGGAGAAAAATGACTGAATCTTAAAGTGTTTTCTTTTTCTTTTCAGGTTACCAAATGTGGTGGTTTACCCAGCAACATTTTGGATGTCTGGGAATTTTTGGGCAAACCTAAGCATTGCCAGTATACATGGGACACGCAGATGAACTCTAACCTTGGAATATCTGCAATTTGTAAGCTTCGTTTTGATCGAATATTTTTCAGAACAGCAGCAGAAAGTGGTCATATTGTTCCCCAAAGTTTGGACCTCCTTGGGTTGGAAAAACTGGACTGTGGTAGATTTCCTAGTGATCACTGGGGTCTGCTGTGCAACTTAGAGGTGATATTGTGAAATGCTTTTCAAATGAGCTTTACATCTGAGTAATTTCATTCTGGATTTTTGCAAATGTAATTTCTACCTGTCTGGAAAGGTAGGTTTAATATGGAGGAATTAATATACTAGATCGCTGTAACAGAAGAAAACACTACTGTGATTTTATTTTGTGTACTGTGTCCTCATATTTCAGAAGTAAATATGGATGTTTACTTAAATTCAAGCATACCTGGTGTTGAGAACATGAGACTTCTTCAGACAAGGCCACCAGGACGGCTGGAGCTTTTTACAGTGCTCACAGCTGCCTGCTGGTTCTCAAGCGAAGCCACACCGTCTCTGTCTGGGCTCGCGTTTGTGTTCTGTTGATTGTTAAAATCAGGCACCAAATAGTTTATATTTTAAGTAAATCTTTAAAAATAAAAATGCGAGGTGACTGAGTTTGGGGGATTGGATCTTTTCGTTATATTTTACAAATTCAGATAATCGTAAATGAAAAAGCCATGATTATGTACGTTTATGTAGATGACAGCTGTCCACAGCAGACTTTGTCTTCGTCAGCGAACAGCACATAATTGCTAAGCTCTACGTGAAACCTTAGGATTTGAAATTTTTCAACTTTTTAATAAGTGTTTGTCAACGTGTCACCATTTGCGTTGCTGCCAACAGAGGCAAAATTAGGCCTGATAATGATTAAAGGCATTGGATTTTTTTCCCTAAGAAAAATGAATGTATAAAGAGAAATAGTTTTTTAGTTTTACTTCTTACAAAATTGACTTATTTTACAGGAGAGGGATAAGGAGCACTTTTAAATGTGCTTTAAGGAAACATTTTTAAGAGAAGTGTACTTTAAATAAAGAATTTTACTTGTTTATAGTTTTAGTATGCTTTGTGTCCACGATTGAAGTTTTATCTGTTTCCTGTTTCTGACTCTTCCTGTTTCTGACTGCTGCTCCTCACCATCCTGAGAAAGAAAACGGCTTCTGTGAAGTTTTTCCTCCCACCAAATACACATTGCCGTCCTCGGTATAAAAAAAGGAAAGCCAGTGGGAATGATTAGAATGAGAAGTCACAGAGCCTCATTTCCATCAGGGGTATCAAAATTCACAACCAAACCACCTGAACAAAGACAAGCCGAATTTATACATAATACTACCTTTGCAGTGACAGTGGAAGGGAGTTTTATATGGCACTTATTTAATCACTTGGAATAAGATGCTAATATTTAATATACATTGGGGAGGCAGTAGTTCATTTTTATAGGAAAATGATGTTTGGGGCATAAAATGCTCAGTCACTGGGGTGCCTGGGTGGCTCAGTCACTTAAGCATCCAACTCGTGATTTCGGCTCAGGTCAACATCTCATGTTCATGAGATGGAGCCCTGCATCAGGCTCTGTGCTGACAGTGTAGAGCCTGCTTGGGATTCGTCCTCTCTCTGCTTATCCCCTGCTCACACACTCCCCCCCACCCACCCTCTCTCTCTCTCTCTCTCTCTCTCTCAAGATAAACAAACATTAAAAAAAAAAAATTGCTTATTCACTTGGAAGAATAATTGTTGAAAGAACCGTACCTCACATCACATTACAAAAAAGTTTAGATGAGTGATAGGCTAAATATAAATAAAATCTGTAGTGTGTGTAAGATCACATAGTTATCAAATTGTTTGAAAACCTTGAAAGGAGCACCAGTTCCTTTACATGACCAAGCCTTCAAGAGAAATGCCTTCCCATGTCCTGTTCATAGTGACAGAATCTAAGAAGTTTGATGTGATGTGAAGAGGAACAATTAGACCAATTTTAGTCTGCTTTCCCAACCAGTGCAAGAGTTAAGAACCTACTTTGCTGAAATCATTATTGTACTATATGCTAACTTGGATGTAAATTTAAAAAATAAAAAATAGAATTATAAATAGACAAAACTGCCAACAATGGCCTGCTCTTCAAAAAGAAAAAAAAAAGGAACCTACTAATTTGCAATATCTTGAATTTTTTTACTTTGGATCTCAGATTTTCCAGCAAGGTATCTCTGAGTACCTTAATTTCCTTGGGGGAAATTCCAACTCAGAATCTTGTGTTTATTTCAATAAGCAAAATGCCATCTTTGCCACTGATGTGGAATGTACTTGAAGCTTGCTAGACCTCACTTTCTCCCACCTTCAAAACAGGATAATTCTGCCTTTCCTGTACAGTTTGGTAAGACAAATGTCTCAACCAACAATATAAATAAGAGCAGACAAAGAAAAGCTATACTAAGGATACCTAATTTTACCCTTAATAGTGTTTGCAGTCTCTGGCACGTAGCAGGGGCTCAATAAATGGGCATTAAATGCTGAAGAGAAGTGAAAGACAGTGGCCTAACAGCGTCCTAGGGAGGCGACTGACTTCCATATAGTGCCAAAATAGATACCAAATTCATTTCCTATATATAGGCATTCATTGTAATGGCACTTGAGATAAAAAGATGAAACTAACATTCTGGGCTAAGCCCATGTATATTACGCATCTTTGGGAACAAGCCTGCCGTCTAAATCCGATTTGTTGGTGCAGCGAGAGGGCACTCTGAGGGTATTATCGAAGGCCAAGTGAGAGGACAAAGGGCAGTGCCTTTTGTGAGGTTTGGGTTCCCTCTGAAGGATTCTGTGGAGGTCTTGGAATCTGATTGGTTCCTTTTGGTTATGGTTTTAGATTGGGGAAGGAAAGGGGTTGACTCGAGATTGGATTTGGTCTTGAATAGAGGAGAGTTGAGCAATTGAGCCTCACCGGTTAGGAGTGGGAATAGCAAAGGGGGCCTCATGGGAGGAAAGTAATAGTCATTCACAGAGGGAGTTCTTAGGTCATTTTATGGCCTGAGCTGGGGAAGGGAGGTTTTTATTTTTTTGTTTGTTTATTTTGAGGGAAAGAGCGCGTGAATGGGGGAGGGGCAGAGAGAGAGAATCCCAAGCAGCCTCCGGCTGTCAGCCTGTGCAGAGCTGGATGTGGGGCTGGAATTAACTGAGATCCTGACCTAAGGAGAAATCAAGAGTGGGAGGCTTAACCGACTCAGCCACCCAGGCGTTCCAGGAGGTGAATTTCCTCAGGTTCTTCTGGACATCTGGGCGGACGTCACCATTGCATGACTTTGGGAGAAACAATATTTCCTGTGAACACTGTTTCCAGCTTTATCTGTGTCTTCCCAGCTGATCAATGGCAAGGTGGCTTTTTTTCTTTGTGGTTCAACCAGATTTACATTCTTGTCGAAGACTATGAGTAGAGGTCCTCTTGTCCAGCAAGAGAGTGGATGCAGAACTGAATACGAGAGAGGCTAATGTCTGGGAGGTGATAAGAGCCCCAAACAGGGCTTTCATCTCCGTATTTATCGAGCTCACCTGACATTACCCACCTGGTGAATGTGGAGAAAACAAGATTTTACGCCTGTGAAGGTGGAGAAAACAGGCGATAATCCTTAACTTGTGTGTGTAAGAAGCAAAGGGGGGGAGTTTGTGATCAAGGTACATTGGCACCAGGTGGAAGGTAATTTCCTGCAGGTGGTCTAACGAGTTACTGGTGATCCTGTTACAGTATCTCGCTAGCTCACCTCAGGCAAAAACGGCCCAGCGGTGGCAGCTTTCTGCCCTAAGCATTTTTCTGACCGATTTATGTCAGTAGAACCTATTTCCCCACACATTCTTTCAGTCCTGGATGGGTTTTCTTTGAGTATTTATTATCTCATTTAATCCCCAGTCATCCTTTATGAGTGCTATGGTCTCCATTTCATACTTGAAGAAACAAGTTTAGCGGGATGATGTAACTCGTCCAAGGCCTGTCCGTAGCCACTGGCAAGCCTACTGGGTGCTCGCTCGGCAGGCCTGGGTGATTCAGTCCTGGGCACCGCACTGTACTTCATAGTCCTGGGAATGTTCAAGGGATGCACACGGAATGCACTGGTTTCCTTTTCCGCCCTATGCTGTCGTACCTAGATGCGTGGGCATCTGGATTGCAAGAAAATAGAATAAATGCAAGTAATTAAGAGTCTTCCTTGTGAGTGCTGTGGTTCAGATCATCACCAGCCCACAGACGCAGAGGGAGTGTAAGTACTGTGGTGGACGGTGAAAGTCCGGAGGTGACGCGGCCCCTCCCAGGCCCGGCAAACCCCAGAAAGTAGCACGTGCTCAGGCCGCCCTGGGCCCCAAGAGGCGCCCGTTGGAGCGGTGGGTCCCGTGCACGTGGGCTGACTTCCCTTCGGGGGACACATTCGCCGCGGGTCTTTGACCCAGGCAGCGCGCTCACGGATGCCTCGAACCAGCCTGGTCCCCGCATTTGGAAGGGGACGGGGTTCGTCCCCACCTGGGTTACGGCCACAGCGACAGGGCAGGGCTTCGCGAAGGAAGGGAAGTGGGCACGCAGGCCGCCCTCGGCCCCGAAAGCCTGCTGCTAGTCCCCTGCGTCTGGGAGGCGGTGGCCCGGGGACCCACCTTTTCAAAGGCGAGCGGCCCACCCCTCCCTGGGGGCGCGTGCGCGTCGCCGAGGTACCCGCGCGACGGAAAGGCGCTGAAGCACGGGCGCGCGCTTCCCCGGCTGCCGCGGAAGCCGCTGCGCGCGCCGGGCGGGGGCCCGGGGGCGGGGGGCCCGGAGCCCGCGTCCCCGTCGGACCGCGGCCGCCCACCCCGCGGACCCGGCTGCGCGGCGCGGGCGGGCGGGGCGTCGGAGCGGCGGCTGCAGGTAAGCGCGCCGCGGCCGCCTCAGCCCGTCCGGGGTCTGGGCCGGGGTCGCTCCTCGGGGGCTCCGTCCCGGGGCGGGAAGGCAGGGGCGGCGCTGCCGTCGGGGGCCGGGCGCCGCGTGTGTGCGTGAGAGAGCGCGTGCGTGAGTGTGAACGCGCGTGAGGTGTGAGTGTGCGTGAGAGCGCGTGCGGGTGAGGGGTGAATGAGCGCGCGAGCGCGTGTATGAGGCGCGCGCGAGGTGTGAGTGCATGTGTGAGCGCGCGTGTAAGCTGTGAGAGTGCGTGAGCGCGCGCGGTGTGAGTGTGCACGTGTGTGCGTGTGCGTGAGGTGCGGGTGCGCGGGGTCGCCCGAGGACGAGGCGGGGAGCAGGTGCTCCGCGCGCGCCCCCCGCGCCGCCTGCAGCGGGCCGAGGGGCGGGTGGGGAGGCGGCGAGCAGGCAGGGGTGCCGGGCGCTCGGAGTTGGGGAGCGGCGTTCTGCAGGCGGCCCCGGCCGGCTGCGCGCAGGGGGGAGTCGGGGGTGTGGAGCCCGCCGCGCCTCGCCAGGTGCAGCTCCCGGCTGTAGAATCGTCTCGTTCAAGTCCGTTCAGTGATCCTTACGAGATGTTCTGCCTCCGGACCTTACCGTAACCTGACGCTTAAACCCCCGAATGGCTTTTCTCCCTTTTCCCGTTCAACTTCCTCCACGGAATGAGCCTTTTTTTTTTT